CTCTGAGTCTCTGCTTGGAAGGGAAAACGGTTAAGCCTTGCACGTTCCCTTTCATGAAAAAGAGCCACCGTGAGCAGCGTCCGCGACAGGAGGACATGGCCCCGCAGATGAGCCACAGCCCTGCTTCCACCTTCTGGAGGAGTACTTTGCTTGGAAGGGGTCTCCCTGGGGCCTTGGGTTTGCTTTTTCCTGCATTTCTCCCGAAATGCTGTTTCAGTAGAAATAAGCCCACTTGAGACTTTTCCCTTTCAAGGCCTTAGCCACAAACGCCTTCCGACTAAGGAGCTTGGTGCTGTAGCTCAGGCAGAAAATTCTAAAGCATCCGTTCAAGCATCTGAAACAAACGAATCAGCCAGTGAAATCTCATCTGTTAGCATCTGTTCTCCTCTTAGATTAAAAAGGAAAAAACAAAGAAAGCCTTTTTATGGCTCATGCTTCACAAAAAGAAAAAAAATAAAACCTTGCTACTTTTTAGACTATGGGGACTAGATAACAGGTGTCTGACACTCCACAGATTAAATGTCTGTGAAGCACCCCATTTTCCTCTGTCTTTATGCACTGAACCTCCCTCCTCAGAAGGCCACATCAAAGCACATTAGGGACTAAGCGTAGTGTGCTTCTTTCATATCACTCACCTTTCCACTTTACCACCTACGTCACCATCTGTTGGTTGGGGCACCGGCTTTAACATTATAAAACCTAACAATCTAATTCTTTACAAGCTGGAAATAATGGTCTCTCCTCCTTAAACCCAACTTCTGAACAGCTAGGAAAAAAAAAAAAAGACTATCCCTCTAAAGACTTCCTGTCATTAAGATGGGCAGGCTCCCATCTGGGATGAGTGAGGGACAGTCTCCTCGGATTCCACCAGAGCGTCTTTTGCATAAAGGAAATCCTTGAATGTTGAAAGGAAAAAGAAATGAACAAAACTTTTCCCACTTGGGTTTTTTTTTTTTTTCTTATCCATGAGGTACTGGACAAATTTGTGTCCGTCTCTGGCACAGGAGCCCTCACCTGGAAGGCCTGCTGGGACATTACTAGTTGCTGGGAAGGGAACGGAGTTTTCGTGGCTGCAGAGCTGTGTTCCTTTATTTACTGGCTCCTCGTGGAAACTTGCGGGTCACTCAAATGCAGCAGCAGTGGATGAAGAGCAAATGCTGAGTCAAACTAAAGTGAATATGGCATGTAGGGGATGAGTGAGAAAAAAAAAAAAAAAAGGCCTGATGCAGCTTCTCCCTGATTCCCTCTGTAGAGGTATTGGAAAGAAGGCAGGCTTTAGTGAAGATGATGGATGGACAGATGGAAACTGCACACTCATTCAGACCGCAGAGGCCAGAGGATTCTAGGTGCTGAGCTCCTAGCCACGCATGGATTCAGGAGCTCCTCAAGCCATTCCTCTTCATATAGAAGGGAACATTGCAGTTGGTCTGAACATAGGGAGACCTGATGGAGCCCACAGGGTTGAAAAGCATAGTGCATCTTTGTGCCCTTGAAATCCATTCCATGGTGGGGCAGGCAGAGAATGTGGACCAGTTCTGATCCTGTTCAGACAGACTGCACTCTATGCAGCACAAGCACGCACATGCCTATGTCTTGACTTCCGTGCTCACACCATGATGCCCACATTCCACTTGCCATTAGCAATCGGTCAGCCATGTGGCACCTCTGGCACAGGGAGCGGCAACTCATCCCACTTCTCAATAGGCCGTGCCCACTTTCAGGGGCTTCCTTGAGGATCTGTGTACTTGTCCTAGTCACACTGTTGGTGCGTTTCTCCCATTGCCATTTGACCCCGTTTCTCTAACTGCTACATCATCACGTAGTATTTCATCATGCTGAAAGGAAAAGCTTCCTCGTGCTAATTAAAAATAGAGTGACAAGTCACATTTAAAGCCATTTCTAGAGCAAAGGAAGCCAAAAATGTAATTAGAATTATCCTTCAAGGAGACAAAATTCTTCTATTTTTAATGTTTGCTTCAGAATCAAATGTATTTCCAGAATTTATCTGTCAAGATTATGAACACAACTTAATTTTCTAGGCTGTATATTCAACATAAATTATAGTCATAGCCTCAATTCCCAATGGAACCATGTGAAAACGTGTTGATATTACCACCTAACTGGAAATATTTAGATTTCACCAAGGAAATGAAACTCTATCAACAACAAAATGGAAAATGTTTAAGAGGAAAAAAACCCCTCAGCATTATTGTTATATAATGTAATCATCTTTTAAGCCACGATTTAACAATGTAACTTTAGCATCATTTGAACCTTCAACGTGAAGACTCAGTGAAGCCCGTTCATGAAATGTGATAATTACTTAGCCATGTGTTGTTTTTCAGGTTTTAAAATATCAAAAGACTATCATATCCAGCCACCAGAGCAAGCACTAAAACCATCTAATTAGGAAGCCTTGGGGATTCAGAAAAGGTATAACTCTGTCTCTAGGTGGTCATCACACATGCCTTCCACAGTAAACAGAAGGATCTCATAACACAAAGCTAACTTGATTACTGTAAATTATGACATATCCATGCATGAAAGAGTATGTTCCCCTCTCCAGAAAAGTGATCAAGTTCAACCAACCCCACCAACTAAAATCCGAGAACACCAAGCAGCTCCCTACAAGCAGAGGGCCCCACGGCACTCTGAAACCTGGCCAGCCTAGTCCTCGAGGCCCAAGGCTGCTTTTGGGAAGGGCTGTCAGAAACACGTTCATCACTCCCTCTCCTTGCACCCAACTTGGTCATTTTTCTCTTAAGAATGTATGGACCAGAAACCTTACAAACACTTTTCAGTCTGCTTTGCCTCTCTGAGGCTACTTGTGAACTATGACCGGAAGGACTATCACTTTTGCAAACTGAATTGGCCAGAGGTAAAAGAGCTTTACTCACAAATTCTACCACCTGAGACAGCAATGAGCAAACTGACTACTGAGCTTGTGACTCACTGAGCTACCTTTAGGAGATGTGACCACAGAAAGAAAGATCAGAGCTGTCTTCAGCTAGATTCAGAATCCATCCTCCCCCAACGCTGCAGCTGTCTGCGTAGAGCATAGGTTTCATCATGAACCAGCAGGTCACTGTCACACAAGGTCATCTACTACTCCGACATATGCATATGCACTTTCATGCATTGTCATTCATGTTCATATTTTCTCTTTGAGCGAGATCACAGACAAGTCTTCACTTTGGTAGTGACCGTAACTTTGAACACAAAACAATACTGGGCGTTTTTCCCCAGGAAAAAAGTGAAAGACTATTCTATGTCGACCCTTACCCATACCTTAAGACCTAATTTAAGACATGTGGTGATAACAGGGACATAAAAGTAATTTTAGAGTAAATAAATTAAAAAGGAAAAGTTCTTTACCAATTCACAATGGACTTAAAGCATTCTGGGTAGCAGAGATGACAGGGCTTTCAATTAATTTGGACAGTTGCTTCTGACAGCTTGCCAACCTCTGTAGTTCCATTTTTCTGGTTTTTAGCATCTTTTTCTCATTCCCTCTTCACTCTGCTTTCTCCATCGCCAGCACTCACAAATGCCCCTTCCTGGGGAGGTCTCCACTGTGACTCCTTTCCTCTGTACACCTGCTTCCCATCCCAGAGCTTTGAGTTTACCTAGGATTCTATATCCTTGACTATGTGGATCCTGGTTGGAACCAGGGGTTCCTGCAAGCCACATCCGCACTCTAGGAGCCTGAGACAGGACCGGGACCAGGCCAGCCAGGGTGTGAGAGAGCAGCATTTGCACAGCAAGCCTCGGGGCCAGCAAGAAACACACAACACACCAGATACACACACATATGCAAACGCACACATACCAGGAAGTGATGGATGTTACTGAAATGGACCAAAAACCAACAAGCAGTGGGGTAAGAAACGAACAGAAACAAAACAAAGCACTTGCGTTCAGATGGAAAGCTGTTTGCTGGGAAACTAACTAGGGCCTGAGCCCAGGGCTGAGAAGGTGGGTGCCTGCTCAGAGGGCACTGCCTTGGGAGAAGTCTGGAGGAGGCAGGGTGCAAGGGCAGCGCTTGCTTCCCTCCCACAGGGAGGTGCCTCCGCCACTGTCCTGGGGGGCCCTGTCCCACAGGCCGCAGAAGATGCCCACATGACAGAGAAAGCAAGGAGGGAGGCACTTACCTCGTGGCCCAGAAATGGCTAGTCCACATTTGGGGGAGTGTGCAGTATCTCAGTTTAAACAAAATCCTTGTGGTACTGCTCAACCACGAATTGTCAGCTCTCTAGTATTTCAAATAAGCTTGTAAAATCGTTAGTGAAGAGAGAAAACGACAAAACAACAATTCACCTGTAGGGCGATTGTGGTGTTCTTCGCAGGGTATTTTCCCACCAGTCCTTGTTCTTTCCGTTTCTTGAATTTCCTAAAGTAGTCCTGTATCAGGAAAGTGGCATAGAACTTCCCCACGGTTACCTCATCATCTAAACGGAGAGACCAGACAGAGCTCTCCCGAATCAGCACGTTTGCACCAAGAGCCTAAACGCTGTTTCTGGCTGGGGGCAGGGGTGGGGAGGGACAGCGCAGAAGGCCCTGAGCTGTCGGCTTACAACACAGGAGGGAGACTAAGTCTAGCAAAAAGCAAGGTTTGGCAAAGCGGTTAAGGCTCAAAATTAGAGTCAGTTAAATGAACCAATACTCAAAATTGCAGAAAATAAATATACTTGTCATGAGTTTAATAGAGCAGCGTATTAGTAACACTATGAAGTGCTGTCTTGGTTATTTACTTAAAATAAAAATTATAAAACAAAAAGGCTTCATAGGTCATATTTTCACCCCTGTGCACAGGGATTTGCATGAGTAATTACCATGAACACCAAGGGCAATTAACCATCCAAATCCCAATGCCTGGAGATAAAGATAGAGACCTCAGAAAGGTGACAGACAAGCTTGGAAGGAGAGGAAGGTTCAGAGCAGTGACTGCAAACCCAGATTTTCATGTGCCCCTTGACTCTCTGCCAATAGCCTCCATATGCCATTTCTTGGTTTGTAATTCAGAACGGTTTGTTTTTCTGCACCATAAGTGACAGCGCCAACTAACCTCACCGTTGAGCTGACTTATTTCTGCTTTGTTCAGAAACAACCCAACATGTATGATTGAGACCTGGAACTCTGCTGAGCATTTTACAGGTGATGCATGAGGCAGAATAGAGGCTCGGGCTGTCTCACGGTAAACCACCTTGGCAGTGTGAGTGCACCCTAGGGTTCTCCATGAGCCCTACTCTCCCAAGGGTGCTTGCTACCAGATCTGCAGTGTGCCAAGGGCTCCAGAGTGGAAAGTTTAAGGCCCCATCAGCAACCCATCCCACGTGGGGTCACAGACCACCGACCATGACTTGCAGAGGCTGGGAGGAAGAATGGTTGCTGACCCTCAGGCTTTAGCACAGCTAAACTTTTGGCCAGGCCGCCCTTGTAAGAGTTACGTGCGATCTCGGGCTAGGGGCTCAACCTCTCTCTGCTTGTGTTCTCATGTGTGAAGGGGGCTACACCTCTTAGAGAAGCTGTGACGATTACATGAGATGTGGCATGTAAAGCACTCAGCTAAGGGCCGAGGGGCTGGATGACTGGGAGGCATCAGAGTCGCCATTATTTTACAACCTACCAATAGTGGCATCCACTGAAATGGATTATAGAGCACCACAGGTTGGGGGACACTGGGGCCTGTCTTATTCATTAATGCACCCTGGGTGGGGCTCATTTAGTGCTCAAGTGGAAGGTGTCCCTTTCTGGACACTGCAGGGCCACTGTGGGCTGCCTCTCTGAACGTCTGTGTCAAAAGCTACTCAGTGCTACTGTAAGAGAAGATGCTTAGAATGATCAGGCTTCGAGAACATGTTGCGTTTCTTCTCAACCTAAGCTGGGCAAGTCCCAGAGGGTCCAGGGGCCACCAAAGTGAACCTAAGGCTTTGTGTAACACATGAAACCATGGACCCTCATTGGTCTTAGGCTGGTCTCATGCTTCACTGACCACAGGCGAGGAGGCGAGAGGTACAGAGAAACCATTCAGGTCTTGACATTTCAACTCCCGTTTTGCTCTCCAGCCACTTCCCACTTCGCCCAGGATGTGTTTGGAATACAAGGTCCAGCTACCTCTCCTACTGGGCATCTGCAGGGGCCAGGCCCTGTGTCACATGGGTCCCTTCAACAACTCTGAGATGGTGGATCTGCTCATCCCCTCTTGACGTTGAGAGACATTAAAGGACTTGCCCCAAGCCAGTTGAGTTAGGACATGAGCCCTGAATCTGGGCTCTTCTCCTCCTATGCACCACTCCCTAAGGGATGGCCGAGCTCCAGCCACACAGGCCACCTTCTTCTTTGGGGCTGCTTCTCCCAGAGTACAAATCTCTCTCTTTATATGCAGGAGGTGGACCACCTGCTCACTGAATACCGAATCCTGGGGACCTAGGGGCATTCTCTACCTGCTGTGCCACAGCCAGCCTCTTCAGTCTAGGGTTTCAAGTCTTCTCTGTGGGCTCCCAGAGAAAATATCTACAGAAGGCCCATCTCATTCCACACTGGGATGCTTCCAGTACACGCAAGCCTACCCTTATCTCCCTTCTGCCTGGATTGTGCTAGCCTAAAGGGGCCAAGGGAGCACCTGCAGGAGGGTCTTGGGTCTCCCTGGCCCAGAACCTGGGGTGGCAGTGTACTCAGTGCAGAGGGCTGGCTGCATTTCTACCTGAGGGGCGACTCCAGTGCAGGCGCATAGCCACCCAGAGCTCTGCAGGGAAGGATTCAAGGACCACTTGTCTGCTGCATTGAGACACTGAGCTAAATGAGACTACACCCGGGGAAGAATTTTTCCAAACAGGAAAAGTCACAGCTATAGCAGGACAGAAAATGAAGGAAGAGAAGGAACGAATGCAGTGAGGCCATCTGGGCTCAGGACTGGAGAAGGAGAGATGAGGTCAGCTCTGAGTGCTCTTCAAGGCAAAGAAGCCAAAGATCCAAGGCAAGGAACAGAGGCCCAAAGGCAAGGAGAGCCTCTGTGGGAAGAGGGGACTACTAAAGAAAGGGGGAGGATCCATGAAGCAGTATGACAAGACTGAAGAGTAGAGGTGAGAACCGAGAACGTGAGCGAGAGTCAGAAATGGGCAGTGAGACAGCTCGGCCTTCTGACGGAGACAGAGAACAGGCTGTCCCCATAGCCACGGGCCCCTGCACCACTGAGGGTACAGAAAAGGGCAGTTTCCAACTGGCGTTCCTGGGCTCAGTCTCGAGTGTCACATCGTCAAACTCATGACAACCTGAGGACGACTCACATCGCACCCATGCCAGCGACACCTCCGAAGACGGACACCTGCTCTCCTGTCACCAGGTCTGTAAGGGGTTCCCGGGGTGCCAGGAGCAGCTGGCCTGGCTCAGTCTGCTGCGCTCTGCTCAGGTTACGGCATGCGGGACACTGAGCTCAGGGAGCTACCCATCAGCTGGCCCAGAAGGCTCTTTTTCTAAGTGTGTCATGATGTGAGAAAGGCTGGAGACCACTAGCCTGCTGGAAGATAAGAGTAAAACAGAGGCAGATGCTAAAACCCTGCCCAGCAACTCATTCGGGGTCTGTTCACCAAGGCCAGAAAGTCATTGCCTTTTGAACGTCTTCAGTGGCAGCAGCACTTATCTGAGACGCAGCCTGATAAGCACTATCCTAGGCACATACACAAACCATGACATGAAACCTCTAGAGCATTCCATCTCCTACTAAGGCTCCATTTCCTTCTTCTTGGGTTTCACAGTGCCTCTTGATGCCATTTTGGAATAGAGTAACACTTGCCGTCCTAAACCTTAATCCTTTTAAAGAAATATGGAGAAAAAGCCAGGGCCCGTTGTTGGGGCAAGAAAAGTCAGAAGAATATTTACCCTTTACTAGAAGTCTAGTAGAATTAGAAGCTGATCAGTGTTTCAAAGGAAGGGGATTTAGATGGTGACCCAAATTCTGGACTTTTTTCTGTAAAATTAAAAAAAGATGAAGATTCACAACAATGTGAATGTCACTGTCCAAGTGAGTCTAGCCAGGATGGGCACTGATGTGTGAGTGAGACTAGTTTGCAGTGAAAGTGGCATTTCAAGAGACATGAGGTGGAGCGGGGAGGAGCGGGGCTCCTGACCGCGTGAGGAAGGTTTACTTAGGCGCAGCCCGCTATTCTGAAGCATGCATCTGCATTTTGAGAAACATTGTAGGGGAATACAGTTGGCAAGAGATAACTCTGATTCCATGCCACCACCCTAAAACAGAATTGCTTCAGAATATTCTGAAAGACTGAGAGTTGAAAGGAATGGAGGCTGCAGAAAAAGCTCAAGCACATTGTTACAACAATTTAAAAAAAAGCAATTTATCTAAGCCATGCAAGCACTTGGGTGTGCAGCTAAAAGAAAAGAACGAAACCAATGAGTTGTTTTAAATGTGCAGTATCAGTTCTCCCATGGAGAGCCAGGGTTTTCTGTGTGGGAGTTTTAGGTTTTTGTTCTTTTTGGTTTAGAGGGAGGGGTTGCTTTTCCTTTATCATTTCTTCATAGGCCATCTTCTCCAGCTTTGAGCTGGTGGCTGTGCCAGCTATGGGTGGCTCCCCGCAGCGACAAAAACTCATACAGCGTCTTGCTTCATAGTGAAGAGAAGAGCTGGCCAGCATGCTACTCTCTCTGCCCCCAAGAGCCAGAGGTTGCCACATTCTCAGAGGGAATGGCCACTATCTTGGCCCGGGGTTCCGGAGTCAGTGTTCGGCCTGAGCCAGACCAATCTAGAAAGCTGTCGGGGCAGTAACACTATAAAAGTTCGGTTGGTTACAATATACACCAAATGCTTATCACGTGCCCAGGGCTGGGGATGCTAGGTGCCGTGTGGTGGCACCAGGTAAACGGATCCTGCACTTTTAAAACTTGGAAATAAAACAGTCAAAAAACAACCACCTCAACTTCTATGTCCATGTGCACGTAAATAAAAATGGAAAAACATTGTATACATTTTATATATATATATATATTTT